TAGAGGTTGTAGCCAATAAACATTGCTGGACTGAATTTACATGGTCTCCTGGAGTTCCTTGGGCTAGGCCTGACAGTGAGTGATTTGTGTGTATCCCTAATTCTTTCCCGGCTGTTGACCAGGGCTGTGTGTCTGTCTGCTCCAGCCGCACCTGTCTGCAAAACCCAGGTAGAAAGCAAGGGGGGCGGACAAGATCCGCGTGCCTCGACAGGCTGTGAGTGTGTGAGTGAGTGACCATAAGCCGAACCTGGGAGCGGCGTGTGTAACAGACCCTTTCCCTGGAATGCTTTGATAAGCTATTGAACTGACCTCCTTGTTATATTTCACACTTGCAGTATCCTTCCTGATAGTATCGACATTTGCAATAAGCAGCAATGTTTCCATGGCGATCTCTTCCTTCTCCCTAGAAGGAGAACCGTCTGGTTCATGTTCCTTGTCTCTGGTCCAAGGTCACAGTGTTAGGTATTCGGTTATCCAAATACACTGCTGTCTCTAAGACTGATACCCGTCAATGGGTGCATGTATTTCCAGATGAGGTGTGAAATATTCGATTTGTGGCAGACATCAAATGATACCGCCAGAGAAGACAAGGAATGCAGTGAGATAAATTGGGATGAAGGTAGTGGTTGAAGCAAGGTTATCTGAGGATCATCATGGTCAATGCAGGCGGTCTTATAATTTATTTATTCATTCAATGATTATCTTGCTTTTCATCCAGGAGCTCAAGGTGGTGTAACAGGGCTTTCTCTTCTTATTTTTCTACACAACAACTACCCTGTGAGGTAGGCTGGGCCAAGGGAGAGTAGTCCAAAGTCACCCGGGGAGCTTCTGTGGTTAAGGCAGGGACTGGAACCCGGTCTCTGGCTTCTAGTCCAGCCCTTCAACCCCCAAACTACACTGTTTCTCCAAAACTCACTTGGAGATTCTCCCCCCGGGATTAAGTCCCTGTGCTGGAAACGTGATGCACAAGAGGCAGACGGTTTTGCAAAATGCCATTTTTTTATCTAGAAAAAACACAGGCATATGTGCCCCGTTGTCCTAATCCAACGAGCAGGCCTCCTCCAAAATGGCAGTTCAGTTTTGCATTTTTAACTCAGGAACTTTTTCAGAGGCTCCTGTAATTTGTCCCAGTGCACTACTTCATTAATACAAACGGCCTCCCAGGGTATTTCTTGCAGAGTCCTTTCTAGTTTTCCTCTTCTGTTGTTTACATCACCAGAGCTTCTGTCTCGCAGATCCACCTGGTCACAGCGCTGCAAGATTCCAAGATGACTTTCTGGCCCTTCAGCATCCCACAGCTGTTTCCTTGAGCCACACCTGTGATCGGCAGCCTGTGGGGTCAGGGAGGAAGCCAAGGACCGTTGTCAAAGGAGGAGGAACGTCACTCTGCCCTGGATGAAAATGCTCCCTCTGATGAGGTTCCAAGTACATCCTATCTGTTTCAGCTTAAAAGCAGGCAGCCTTTCCAACTCAGTTAAAAGAGGGCAGAGCAGGGCAGGGGAGGGCAGGGCAGGGCAGGGCAAGGGGTTTTCTACAACCCCAAACAAGTCTGACCAACTTGGACCGCCTGGCGTGGCATTCTTTCCTCTTCTGCCCAGCTGCATTAATCCTGCTTTAAGTCTGGCTGCCACAAATGCCCTTTAAATATGAGATATTTTTATATGATTATATGAAAATACACATTCATATGACACACTAAGGGCACCTATCAGCCAATCACATTTGAGCTAGAATGTTGGGTGAATGCAGCCTGCGGGGGGTTACGACTTAGTGGACATCATGCAAACTCCGAAAATCTTGAATGGATTGGTAAGATTCATTATTATTATTATTATTATTATTATTATTATTATTATTATTACTGTGTTTTATTTAGTATTATGAGCCAACAAGAATCTTGTTGATTACAGCAGAAATAAATAAATAAGAAAATAAATAAATAAATAAATTAAATAAATAAATAAATCTGCTTGTGTAAAGCCATCATTCCATTAACCATGTGGAAGCATCTGAAGGAATATCCAGGATGTCTGAGCTGATATTTACCGACCAGAAAAGGGATTTTGGGTGGCTGGGAGACACTGTAATGAAGCATCTGCAGAATGTCCAAGTGCTACAGCAAGGGCACCTCCTTTTGGAAAGATATTTGTCTGCCTGTAAGCTGAAATAGATAGTATTTACTTGGAAAAGTGTGACATGAAGCTGGGGAATTCTGGGAGCTGAAGTCCATACACCTTAAGGTTGCCAAGTTTGAAAAACCCCGGTCCAGTGCGATAATCCCCCCTCCCCACTTCCCAAGACAAGGATGGGACCCTCCCGTTGACATCCAGGAGGGACTTCTCTTTCCTGCTCGGCCTTTGGAGCTTAAATGATTGGAGTTGCTGCTATTATATTTTACCAGCTGGATTTATTAACTTTTTTTATTGTAATTGCTTGTTTCGTGCTTTTTAAAAATTGTAACTATTTGATGGATTTGTTTTTAATTAGAAAGCCACTTGGAGTCAAATGCTGGGGGTGGCCTAGGAAACAGTATAAAATAAGATAAATACTCAAAAAGAATATGTGTAGTAAAGAATCATGGGATAGCTGCATAAATCGTATAATACACAGTTATGCAAGTGAGGGAGAGAAGTTAGGATTGCTGGGTGTGCTTGGGAAAATCTTCTCCAGTCAGGAAGAAACGCTTCCCACCCCATTTCCCTCCCTCCATTCATTCATTCATTCATTCATTCATTCATTCATTCATTCATTCATTCATTCATTCAT